GTGCCATCACCACCACCTCTCTTCCGGAAACCTGGCACTGGCGGAGGGTGAACGATATGATTTTCCTCATACAGGGAGTGATCGTCCTTGTACCAGTCCTCCACCGCCGAGGCATATGAGCTATCAAACTCGATTTCCGCGCTGTTACCACCATCATTGCCGGATGGACCACCAAAGATAGTGCCATCACCGCCACCTCTCTTGCGGAAACCAGGGAAAGGAGGATGAGGCGGGGGTGGTGTGATCACAGTGTTCTTGATGTCTGCCGAGTGATCGTCCTTGTACCAGTCCTCCACAACTGAAGAATACGCACTCTCGAACTCGATTTCCGCGCTGTTACCACCGTCATTGCCGGATGGACCACCAAAGATGGTGCCATCCCTGTCCTGTCTTTTGTCGAAACCAGGCACTGCAGGATGAGGGGCAGCGCGGCCGACCACAGTGTTCTTGAGACCAACATCGTGGTCGTCTTTGTAGGTGTCCTTCACACTAGAACTGTAGCTGCTGTCGAACGTAATAGCAGCACTATTCCCACCGTCCGTACCACTGGGGCCACCGATAAGAGTTACCGGGCCCTCGTCCTGTGCCACCTCGCCATGGCCGTTGGCGACAGCGGCGACGAGGAGGGCAAGAGGGATGCCTCCGACCAATCCCTTCATGATGTCTCTTTATCGAGAATTAAACAGATTAACGAGTGTATCCGGACTACAAGCCCGATGGAAGGGTAACAAAGACAAATGAAGAAGTAAAAAAGAAAGGGAACGAATTGCCGGTACCTGTGCCAGTCGCTGGAAGTTTGATATTTAGTACTTACTTCCATCGGCAAGGTTCATGCCTTTTATGGGTCTCTTTCCTACCAATTTCGACTCAAGGCATGTAGATCATGTCCTGGTGAGCTAAACAAACAACAAGGACATGACCTTGTTTGGGCGTCAGGGAGAATGTCGCCAGGAATGAACTACACGGTCCATCAGGTGCCGGCCGTGGGCACTGTGGCTTCGTCCACAGACCGGAGCGCTCCGAAAAGCAGTTCTGGCATTCCTGAGAGCAACATCAACATTAGAAGGACAAGGATCGGTATGAGTACTGTGTACTCACTGGACTCACGATCTCCTCCTAAGGGCAGCTCTGGAACCCCTTGCAGGGCATACCGGAGGTTATCCCTGCGTAATTTAACACGATCCAGGAGACTTGTGTCTTGCAACATGGGCCACTGATCGAATGAGAGTTGCAAGAAATCTCCGGCTCAGCACAATAACAACGACGTTGACGTTGTGGCAGGTCCTACGCTCGAGACAAAACGACATCATAACATCGTCGCCGACTGCAGCACGGCTTGAACATGCAAGTCGCGCAACCCACACGATCGTCCGCCATTGTTACGAACATATACAAGGCAAGGGAAAGAAACACTCCGATATTCCAAAAAGAAAAAAAAAACCAATTTGTATTCATTCTATATCGATAAAATCTGTTTTAAGCAAGAAAAAGAGATGTATCCCGTCATCGACATTCACCCTCCATCGCCCTCACTCAAGAGGACCCAACGGAAGGCAAACTTCCTATCAAGGAAAGCATTGTTCTTCAGAACCGAACGATCGAAAGATCGAAGGCAACACACCGCCGTGGGATAGAAAAACTGGACGATGGTCGTGGCAGGTTCTGTTAAAGCTTTTCGATGTGAGGAAAAAAAAGGAAAAGAAAGGGAACAAAGAGATCGGCGCGGAATGGGCGATTTTGTAGTTTGTTGTGGGTCACGTGTCAGGGGCCGACCGTTCTTCCGCCGCCAGGCAATAAGGCTGCCCAGGCACGTACCTGGCGGGATAATCAGTACGGAGTCGTGAAAACCTCAATCCAGCTTCTGGAAGAGATTGCTTAGAGAGCCTATCATCGATTCTTGCCATACTGTGATCCAAATTAATTTACACAACTTGTATCCGAGAATAAAAACACCCGAGAAAAGAAACGGATCCTTCTGTACAATCGATCCTCTGCGCGGGAGGGTTGCCGGTCCCCAATGCTGACATCGGCACTCCCTTTGGCGTTCCCTGGACAGCCTGCTGCAGCTTCCGACCGGGTGTTTCCTGGAGATGATCAAGGGTTCTGCCATGGTCAATCCGAGGTGACTTTGTGGAATAGTGGACTCGAGCAGATGGCGCGCTTGACGTCCAGCGTAGTCGGCATCGGAGAACGGAGCTCGAGTCCGTACAAGTAGACGTCTAGCACGGTGTACGATTCCAACGCTTTACCTGTCAAAATTCATGAGTCAGTGGCCCGGATACAAGAGCAATGTCCATGGCATACTATAAATGCACTTACTGTTACGCAATGATGGCCCCTCGTTGGTGGTCGGATTTCCACACTCCGCCGCCCACCGCGACGGTGATTCCCAAGGCAATAGCCACCATGCTCCCCAGCGTGACAAGGGCGATGACGGCCTTGACTGCCACCCTCTGCTTCCTCGTCAAGGACTGCAGGCAACTGCAACGTTTCCGCTTCTTCGTCCACAGCTTCGAGGTGCGGCAGCCCGGTACGTCCATTGATTGCTTGTAAGGTGTTTGCGATGGTGCGCTTTCCAAGTCATGCATGGCATCCACACTGCAGTTCGGTTTCTTCGTTTGAGATCTTGACTGTTCTAAGGCGAACGAGGTTGTCGCATGTCGATAAAAGGGAGAGTATGGCTTTGCATTGACACAAGGGTCATAGTCTTCCGGAGACTTGGGGGATTGCACGGGCGGAGCAGCGACTAGAGTCTTGGAGGAGCATGAGGGAAGTTTCTCATCCGTCTGAGAGTAAGTGTCCAATTGCAACGAGGGACTCATGGCGAAGAATATGTGTTGCGAAAGAAAAAATATACAAGTGTAAAAGGTGCGAGTGAAGGGGCGACGCGGACAGGGAAGTAATAGCTTCGAAACCTCCTGCGACAGCGATGCGCCAGAGCGTTGGATCAATGCTGCCAGGAAATAGAGACAATCTCAACCAACAACGCACATAAATAAGGATGGCACTGTCTGATCGGAAAAGCAAAATAATATAGAGTTCTTTGCTACCCCTCTTTCGAAGGTTTCCAAGAGTCCAAGACAAATGTCTCGGGGGCAGGGAAGGGGGTTATGCGCTGCGGCTTCCCCCATGTGTGCACCTCCCAGGTCGCTTCTCAACCAGTCGAGACAATATGACCTATCAGGAACGGAACTAAAAAAGCTTGGGGAACGTGCAGAAGAGAATCCAAGGCAAAGTTTGTTCAGTCACTCCGGCTACGAACACAGGTTCTGTATTTCTGATACTACTAGGTTTTGGGATTGTGGAGGCATTCCTTCCGTTCCCCTGGACTACTCCGTACATCTCTGGCCAACGTCTCCAGTTGATTGCCCTGGTGATATGGGAAGCATGCGACAGATGCAAAAGAAAAAAGGTGTCCATGTTGCCAAGACGGTGCTAAAGGTTAGTGTCACACTTCAGGACTAGCTTTGGTTGAACTGCATGCTAGAATAGCCTAAGAAAAGGAGACAGAGACCGAGTCTGGACTGCAAACAGGACCGAGGGCGTCGTTTAGAGTTAAGTGTTGACGCCTCCGTAGTACGTCTCTATGGTCGACTAGCGATGATAGTGCGAACGTGGTGCCCCTGAACTATTACACTTTCAGCTCCCCCGCAAGTCTTTTAAAATTTCAGTGGTTCGGTTCAAACCTTCTCTCCAAAGTACTGGACTAATTGATTGAGAGATTGTCTTGAAGCGGTCATACACTTTGTTATTGACATTGCTGCAGGAATGGTCAATGGTGATAAGCATCAGTTTTACAGACGGATTCTTCTGTAGTATCAAACTATGAGTATCACGAAACTAAATGCACTATTAGGATTGCTCTGCAGATCTTCTGAATATCATGCAATAACGTTGTAGCCTGGATAAGGGGTATTTGCCACTTTGTGTCTATGTGTTGAGGCTAAGCTACTCCCAACAATCGCTAGTATGCACATATATATATACGCCGCACATGTGGCGATATATAGAGAAACCCTACCAAGAGCTACAAGATACCGACATCCACGTATAATCGACTCGTAATGCGATGATTCTAGTCACTAGAAATTGCAAATCTCCTAGAAATGCGAGAAGTAGTTTTCATCTCTATAACGGTTAATCGTCCTATATGTTTCTACTCAAGGATAGGGCTCTATGTTACGGCAGATACCAACAGCATCCTCGTCTGCATGGAGTAACGACTTGAGTAACAAGTATTAAGCGGATATACTAATCTAACTCCTGTAGGTGGTTACTGTCGACCATTATAGTACAGTCTCATAACCTGACCACCTATCTACTGGGCGTACACAAGTCCTATGCTCCAGTTTTTAGCTGCCTTCTTTGGGCAATTACTGCCACCCTCCACACTCCTATCATCCAAGACCATCATCATACATAGTCATGCTCAGAATCCTCACGACACCGTAAACCCGATCCTACATATGAAGTAGTAGCCATCATCAAATCAACCAGTACTCTCCAGTCCACGTCCAAACCTGTCAATCTGTCCACGGATGAGAACCAACGCTTGCGTCACCTCATCTGTGCAATCAAGGGGTGTCAGGTACGACTTTCCCACCAATTATTAATTATCCCGCCAGACGCTGAAAGGGAACACTGTCCTCCAGCCAAGACCCCTTGATACGACCCAGCACCTAGCGGTACCTGCGATCACCCATTCCACAAGACATTCCAACGCCGTTGTCCTCCTTTTCGCTGCGCGAGCGGGGAATCCTCCCACTGTCGCGTTCTTTGGCTGCATTGTTTGCTTAAAATACTCTGGCAATGCGTGTTTCCAGGGAAACATGTAACATCTCATTTCCTGCGTGTCATGAGAGCTGCTGACGTCGACCAGACGACATCGAGCATGGACCGTACCTGGCAGTGAGATGTCCTGGCTAGAATCCAGTCTGGGGCTTTTGGATTGCTAGATTTGAATTTGGGATATGGTCAATTCAATTAGAGAGATCCTATCATCTATACCTCTCTACTGATGTATGTGGCCTACGCAGTGCATTGCATGGAGTGTAGTGGGTTGTTACAGTATAATCATTGTGCGACACAGATGTACATACCTTGGCTGTGTTCTCAATAGCTACTACTGGCCATTATGACCATCGGCATCAGTTTACAACCATATGGCCCCAAATATACATGTAAAGTAGACGATTTCTACAGAAGGCGATAGTCAAGACCTTTTGCAAATGGACTTGGTGTTTCTCGGAATATATCTCAATTCAATGACGGATTCATTGTCGACACACTGTAAAGTTAGCCATGCAGAAATATATAAATGCATCCACTCTGTAAATACATATACAAACCAGCTGGTATGAGACGACCTACATACAATTCTCCTCATCCTCATCCTCATACTCGCACTACCAAACACCCTAAGATCCTCAACTCTCTACGCGTAGCCACCGTCTCTCACTCGATCCGATTTAGCGTCTCAACAAGAGCCGGATGCGAGGAACAGTGCGACATGGTCTTCCAGTAAGCCAAATTGGCTGCAGGGCGTTCGTCCAATCACTACCACATGCCATTTGCGCACTCCTCCAAAGAAAGGATGACGTACTGGTCGATTATTCGTGCCAGAGAACCGATTTCTACGCGTCTAAGCAATTGAACACGACGAACGGGACAGGTTGTGCGGCACGTAGCGGCCTTTACTCCAGGGACGGCGCCTTTGGTTCCGCTGTAGCTGGAGGAATGCCACGTATGTTAGAGGTGATTTCTGGAGAAGGTATCAACATGAATCGAGCTGTACTGGGGGAGGATAGAATATGGTCGTACTAGCCGCCTGTTCCCATACAACACCGTCGTGAACTGACTTGTCTGCGCCGCGACACTAAAAACGCCTTTGTCTGCCTGGCCTGGATACCGGCAGTTAGCGCAGGGGCGGACGACCGCGAGGCACACCCGAAGATCACGACAAGAGTCTGCCCGAGCGGAACACATTCAGCTACATCGCCACCAGTCAGCGCGACTCCGCTTGGTTTTGTGCCTTAACCCCCCAGGAGGCATGGCTCGTTCAAATAATTCTGCGCAGTACCTAGTCTCTTCGGGGAGAGTCTGAGCCGTCTTCTTGGTGGTTCGAGCTCCAGTAAGCCATCGTCACGTCAAAGATATCGATGGCCAGACTAGTAAGCAAGCGTCAGCGCTGCAGTGAGAATATTGATGCACTGTCCCCCGGCTTAAGACCCGTTTCGATATCGTGAGAAGCGCTCTCTACTGACAAGCCACAAGTACAGCCGTACTGCCATGACCGGTGTCCTTCGGGGAAATCCGAGGTAGAGGAGACTTGGATGCGTGGAGCTCTGCTGAGCCGACTGAAGCACCGGAGAAGTTCACGGCGCCGACTGTACATGCTGCCGATGTCAGTTCGTTTATGACGGGCAGATCTCAGAGTGCGTCTGCTTAGATGATGATATTTAACATCTTGATGGATCATAAAGAACGTCTATATTAGGTCTGCAATAGTATGTCAAGCCAAAGCAATGTGTCCATGCACCTTTTTCAAACAATAGACAATTATCCCCCAGTTACTCAAGATCCTAACCAGGCGCATACGGTCGTCAAGCATACGGCGTCAAGCATACGGCGTCAAGCATACGGCGTCAGGCATACGGTCATCAAGCGTCGCGTCCTCGCCTAAGTGCAATGAAGCTGTCCACCTTCATGGGTATGGCAGTTCTACCAAGGTCAGTCAGCCATCCTCTTGTCAGATTAGCTCTGCACTTACCGGCGGCACATCAGCAGTCGCACTGGGCGTTTCCGTCGGGGTAGCCGTGGGCCCAGAGCCAGAGCCAGAGACAGATGCAGACCCGGTGTCATGCCCATGGTCATGACCGTGACTCTCACCAGCACATCCGACCCCAGGCACCGCAATATCAAACGCATACGCCTCGAGTGCAAAATACTGCAACGCTTCCGAGTCGTGCGTGGATTCCGTCCCGTTCCCCTTGGCCAGGGCAATCACCTCGTCGTAGCCATCAGCAAAGTGCTCGATCCGGCCCTGTCCGACGTCAGGCACATGGTACAGGCGGTGCATCAGATCCGCGGCCCAGAAGGTGTTGGTCTCGGACCCGGCGACGGTGTAGCCCTGAGAGCACATGGTGAGCAGCGAGCGGCGGGTGGTGTAGCTCCGGTCGCAGATGACGGTTTCGTGGGTGGCATTCTCGCCGCGCCAGTGGCCGCCCCAACCTGTTTAATTAGCTGCATGTCAAGGGAGAGGATGTTAGTTGTGGGGGGTGGGAATGGGGGCCTACCTTCCAAAGCACAGTTGCCGTCGGGATTATCACACCGGAAGAGGACGTCCGCCTTGTCGCCGTTCACGATGACATCGTAGGCGCCAATGGCCTCCATGGTGGGCCGGTTGCTAAAGTACTTCCGGTAGATCTCGCTCTCGTTGCCCCAGCGGAGGATATGGGCCTTTGCGTGCCGGGCGAGCTCGATCGCCTCGTCGAGGCCGGCCTCTATCTGCCTGCGCTGAGTGGCATTGCAGCTGGAGTGGATAGGGTAGGAGGTGACGGCGCCAGCATCCCAGGAGAAGAAGACTGGTTCATGGGGGTTTGCTCGCGCCGAGACGGGGGAGGGGGAGGTAGGGAGGGCGGCGACGAGGGGGAGGAGAACCGCAAGGCGGAGGAGAGCAGCCATTTCGAGTATACTGAAGATGGATGGTGCGTTGGTTTGCTTTCTGGCCAGAGGTAGGGCATCCTTATATACCTCGAGGATGGATTCCTCGCGGTACAGAGGTACTCATTGCCTCATTGTTGGAATCGGCCATCAGGGTATTCACGCCACCGGCCACCCCAACGAAGGTCGAGCCATCGAAATGCATGGTCGCTTCTCGTATTATAGTTGGTTCCACAAGACGCCAAGGACACCTTGGTAGTGACCAAGCTGTTTCTCGACTCTGTCTCTTCTCAATAAGCTATGATACTCTGACTTTCTGTCAGCCGTGAATACGATCTGTTCGTACATGATTTGACCTGCATACAGTGACCCCTCTATGCAGCCTTGAAACAGCTCATCCATGCCTGTACAATCTGTAATGCATATCATTCGGAAGGTAAGTACCAAATCCCTCAACGATGCAACATGAGGTCAATACCTGATATCGAAGCAGGAAGCCAGCCGCGCCAAGATTCCCGGCGGAGGAGCCAAGAGTCTTGGATCGAGGACCTTGAGAGAAACAAGCATGAGTCTCGATCCGTTTTGCCGGAGAACATACTGCAATTTCTCAAGGATGCGGAGTTTTCCACCTTGGCAGTCAGATTCGGTCCTTGGCTGCAGATACCTTGGGAGTTAGTGTGGTGTGTCTATGGCGAGAGGAAAACTCTTCGCTGCCAGTGGCTTATCCCCCATCGAATGATCCATCGAACGATTTCTGATAGCCCTAGAATTGCTGCCTAGATACATATAAATACCATCGAACATGTAGCTACCCGACTGACCAAATCCCAGTCCAATCCCTCATGGCCAAAGCTCTCATCCTGCTGTCTCTTCTCGGCCTTGTCCACGCGCAGACGTATACGGGCTGCCACACCCACGGCAGCACCGAGTACTGCTTCGGCCCCGATGGAAAGGAAACCCCATTTCCTACGCCGACGCCGGCTTCCAAGACGGTTCCTGCAACCACTGCCGCCAGCACGACCACCGCCGCTCACGCCTCCGCCGTGACAGGATGCCACAGCCACGGCAGCGAGGTGTTCTGTATCGACGGGGATGGCCATGAGGTGCAAGTGGTCCTGGAGTCGACGCCGACGGGGGAGCTGCCGGCCCAGTACACGGGATGCCATTCTCATGGCGGAGAAACGCAAGTACCTGGCTGTATGTTAATCGAGCGTAGCTGACAGCAGAAGATTCTGCATGGATCCCGAAGGAAACGACGTCCAGATCGTCGAAGAAGGGGGTTCGACGAAAGGTTCATCTGCATCTAGCTCGAGTGAGGGATCGCACTCGGGGTCGAAGGAAGGCATGAACTGTCACTTCCACGCGGGTGTTGAGTGCGGCTTCCCTCTGCCTGAGTTTACAGTTCTAATACTGACCTACCCCAGACACTGCGTGGGTGCAGGGGAATCCGAAAGCGAAAGCAGCCATAAATCCTGTGGTATCCAAAGCCGCGACTACGACGTCCCCCTGCGCATCGGGACCCTGTTCGTCGTGCTCGTCACCAGCTCCACCGGCGTGTTACTGCCCATGCTCCTGGCCAAATTGCCCTCGGCCAAGGTAAACGGAGTCATTTCAACGGTGATCAAGCAGTTCGGAACGGGAGTCATCCTCTCTACTGCGTTCGTGCATGTAGGTCCACCATCCACCATCCACCCCAGATGACCGAACACAGCTAACCGAACAGCTCTACACGCACGCCAACCTCATGTTCACGAACGAGTGCCTCGGCGAACTCGACTACGAAGCGACCACCTCCGCCGTCGTCATGGCCGGCATCTTCCTCTCCTTTCTCTTCGAGTACATCGGGCACCGCGTCATCCTCGCCCGCGGGAAGCGGTCTGCGTCACCCTGTCCCGAGCAGACCTGCGAAGCATCCCCTTCACCCACAGGCAAAGAACCACCCTCCGCCCAACCGCGGCAACCGACCCTCGCCGCCCTGGGCCACCACCACGGGCCCCCACTCGACCCCACAAACCCCAACACCAAGCTCTCCGTGCTTGTCATGGAAGCGGGCGTGATCTTCCACAGCATCCTGATCGGACTGACCCTCGTGGTGGCAGGCGACTCGTTCTACAAGACGCTGCTGGTGGTGATTGTGTTCCATCAGTTCTTCGAGGGGCTGGCACTCGGGGCGCGGATAGCGCTGTTGCCGGGCCGGCTGATGGGGTCTAAGGGGGTGATGGCGGCGGCATTTGCGGTGATCACGCCGGTGGGCATGGCAATTGGGCTGGGGGTGTTGCATTCGTTTAATGGAAACGATAAGAGCACGCTTGTGGCGCTGGGGACGCTGGACGCGCTGTCGGCGGGCGTTCTGGTGTGGGTTGGGCTGGTGGATATGTGGGCTCGGGACTGGGTGATGGAGGGCGGAGAGATGATGAATGCGAGAATGAGCTGTGTGGCCGTTGGAGGATTCTCGCTGATTGCGGGGATGGTGTTGATGGGGGTGTTGGGGAAGTGGGCGTAACTCTCGCCTAGATGAAGCTATTCAGGGAAAGTGGGAATAGAGGGCTGAACACTAAGGCTACGATAATGATTAACGGACAATATATAAATGTATGCCACCATATTATTTATTATACATCTGTCCGTCATCTAATCTTGAATCTAAACTAGATAGATCTGCCATCCATGAGTCAGAATGGGTCTGAGTCAGCCTCGGCATCTCAGTCGGACTCCGTTAAAGGACAAAATGCCAACTATCCATGCACTATTTAGTCCCCCGCCGAATCCTTATCCTGTTGCCTTAATCCTTAATCCCACTCGCCAATTCTTCCTTCACATATATCTACCACATACCAAGTAGACGACTGTAAGAATAATGACCAACATTCGTTACGCCACGGAAGCCGACGCGCCCGCAATCGCAGAGCTGAACGTCGTCTGTTTCCAACATGCCCCCATGTACCGCAACATGTTCCCGAATATGGACCCGCTAGCCGCCCTGCCCATGAAACTCTCCCGCACCTACGACAAACTCTCAAACCCCAAGATGCATTTACTAGTAGCCACGGACCCAGCCTCGAATCAGATCCTGGGATGCGCACGGTGGGTTATCCCCGACATCAAAGGGCGGAGCGAGAATGAGATGGTGGCTCTCTCGGACGAAGCAAGGGCCACGGCGGCGCAGATGGCGCAGCTGCGGCCCGCAGGGATGAATGTAGCGGTCTACGACGCAGTCCTGACAGCGCTGGAGGGGACGAGGCAGAAATACGTCCAGGAGGATGATATCGGTGAGTTTTCCAACTACTTATCCGTAGCTAGCGGACAGCTAGCTGATGGGGTTGTGTAGTTCTGGAACTTTTGGTGACGCATCCCCAGCATCAAGGGAAAGGGGTGGGAAAGGCCCTGCTTGACTGGGGAATGCGGATGGCGGACGAGAGGCATGTCCGGATTTATCTGGAGGCCACGCCGGAGGGGTATCCGCTGTATCGCAAGTCTGGATGGCGGGATGTGGAGGACCTTGTGATGGATTACTCGTTGTACGGGGGAGAGGGAGATGCCACATATGTGGTTATGATTCGGGAGCCGGCCAATTACCCAAACTGAAGTTATGGGCATGATTCTAAGATAACATTTGTACTGTACATACAAGGCCACTCAGCTGACAGCCTCATTTCTATCCACACAAGATACAACATCATCGCCAATGATACTGCACTACCCGCAAGAACCTGCCTGATTCCGCCTAGAGGCTTGGCCCTTCCCCAGCGGGGCCTTCGGGATCCCCAGTTGGCGGCATCGTAGCCCTTCTCCACCCCATAATTCGTCCGATCTTCACTTCTGGACGACAATGGACGACGCTGTCCGACTTGGCTTTGCAGGTGGGCTGCTAGCTCTCCCCAATAATGTAACACCTGTACTTGGTACACGCTGCACAGGATCATCGAAAAGAATCGCATGGAACTGCCTTGTACGGATACCTCGTGACCATTTGTCCTCTGAAGCATATAAAGCTTCACATCTCAACCAAGTAGTACAGCATATCAATTCCAACAAGAGGGTTATTATCATCGTATTGCGCAAAGCAGTCTGATATTCAGATATTTGGTTATACCAATCAACCTTAGATGGCGATCTCTCTCTATCCCCTCCGCCGACATTCCCACACATACACTATATCCCTATCGCAGCCCATCCGCAGAGCCAGTAGAAATTGATTGAATAACGGACAAAACAAAATGGCAATCGATATACTTCCACTCACAAAAGCCGATATCCCCGGTGCCGTAATCTGCATCCAAAAGGCGTTCGCCGACGACCCCTACTTCCGCTGGGTCTTTGACGACCCGTCCAAAGTAGGACATTTTACACCCCAGACCCATAACGTTTTTAAGCAAGTCTAACAGGGGCAAACTAGTTCAACGCCCACCGCAACGCCGCCTCCCTAACGGCCCACTTCCTCCACGGCCTCAACTGCAACGCCCCCATCTACGTCGCCAAATACCGCCCCACCCCAACAGACAAGCACCCGCCCCCGTCCTGCCCCATCGTCGGCGTCTGCTGGTGGTTCCCCCCGCAGCAGAAGGAAACCTGGAACACCTGGACCCAGGACTGGATCTTGTCTTTCCGGCAGCTCCTCAACAACATCCGCTTCTGCGGCCGCGGCGGGCTGAATGTCCGCCGGTACTGGATCTGGAAGGCGCTGCAGGCGCGCACGCACGCAGAGCTCTGGACGCATCCGGCAGGATACTACTTCTGCAATGTGATCGCGGTGAGTTCGGAGATGAGAGGGATGGGGGTTGGAAGGAGGCTGGTGGAGGCTGTGACGGGGCGGGCGGATGCGGAGGGCGTGCCGTGTTACCTGGAGAGTTCCAAGGGGGAGCCGAATCTGGGGATCTATGAGAAGTTGGGGTTTAGGGTGGTCAAGGAGATTGAGTGTGTGGATGGCTGGGAGGCTTGCAAGGTAATTTCCCCTTTTTTTTCAACTTGAGATTTAGGGGTTGGGACGATGCTGATGAAGGCAGTTGTATTGCATGGTGCGGGATCCCAAGGTCCAGATCAAGGCGTGATTTGCCAGGTTAAGGCAGTCTTAAGACTCTGATTGCTCAGGTTGCAATGGTGGTAGATAGTCAATATTAAATGCGTAACAAAAATATCGGTATGAAAGAAATACAGTCCGCAATCCGCATCTACAACAGACTTCCCAGTGCGATACAGGCCAGTCCGACCCCAATCAAATCGCCGTCCTATACCACGTTAGACTCTTACGCATGTACTGAAAAGGTCCAAGTCTTGACTTACTGCATCGGCGGGGTTGTCCATGCAACAGGCCACGTTCTGCTTGCATTGCTGATTCAGGATATCCTCGATAGGAATCGCAAGAATGGCAACTGTCTCATTTAGTACCTGATCCTGCACTGAGAATGACAAGACTTACTTTGAACATCGAGTTTGGAGCACTGGTCGAAAATCTCCAGGCCGCTGGTGCCAGACCCGCCGCCGATAACGTTCTTCAAAGTCCCCCCGATGTCGGTAACGTCGCCGGAGCGGATGGCCTTGTTGCAGCAGGAGAGCTGGGCCTGGTCACCGCACTTCTTGGCTGCCTCTTGTATTGTCATGTCGCTGGGAATCGGAGGGTAGTAGCCGCCCCAACCCTTCTCCTTCCCACCACCGGCTTCCATGGCTGCCGCGGAGACGGCAAGGAGGAGCGCTGCGATGCCGGTAGTGAACTGCATTTTGCGGTGTTGAGAGGGTAAAGGTGGGAGATCAAAGAGAGTGACGAGACTAGCAAGTGTGAGATGCCGGGAAGCGAAGTCTTAAGAGAGAAACGCAGCTATCAAGGGTCGAGTTCTACATTCCAAATTGAGCTCTTGGAAGTCTACTTCCTTGAAAGTAACGGCCGCTCATGATTCCCGTCAAAGGGATAACGGTTTTCGTCGAGTAGCGCTGGAATGTAGGTACCTGTCAGGCTGTCAAGGGTCAATAGCCTCAATAGCCTCAATAGCCTCAATAGCCTCAACTAGACAAGATCGACATTCTCTGTGAGAAAAGTGCCAGAAATGGTAAGACTAAAGAGCAGTCCCTTAGATATTAGCAAGGGCTCATGGGTCGATGCCATTTGACCACCAAAGTGGAAACCTGCCATATCAAGGAGCACCGTGACTGGCCAATCTAATTGACTATCTTTAGAATGCAAAGCAAGGGAGCATGTTCAACGCAGGAACAACAACGGCTCAGCAATCACCACTTGAACTGCTTGTTTAAGGTATGTTAGCTTCGAGCGGACATTCCTCGGTCAGTTTGTTTATGCTTGATTTTCCCAGCGAGTGCACCAGGCACTTCTGGGGCTGTGGGAATCCGGCTCGTCGATTCGTAGTATTCAACCCAGTACCTTGGTCTTATACAAGGCTCCATTCTGGACGGTCCGTTCCTTGAAACAGGTTCCCAGAAACAGGTTCCATTTCCCATGGTCGCAGCAGCATTAGGACGGATCTTGGAGGAAAAGGGCTGATACCTGAATGCACATACGCCATCTCATGCCTGGTGCGAACTTAGTCGCATTCGATCCGCGCAGTTAGTAGGAACTGTTGGGTCTATATTTCCTTATCTACTCCACCGAATAGCTCCGCCTCAATATAGTTGAGAATATAGTTGAGAATATAGTTGAGAATATAGTTGAGAATATAGTTGAGAATATAGTTGAGAAAGCAAATTTACTGTGCTGCCAAACTTTGCTGATTATATGATCAATAACTTCACGAGTCGTTTGCCTTCGATTTTCGGCTTCCGGGAGGCGGATTTGTCTTGTATGCAGCCGCAACGGAATCTAGGGCGTTATGGCATAGTTCCTGAAAGTATTATTTCCAGGTAATCGTTCTCGGCCAACGGTCACCGAATTTAACATCCATGGATGCCTCAACCGATGCTACCCCGCTTGGGATATCCTTAATTTTCGCAGCAGCAAGACACAGGCGCAGAAGGGCGGAATGGTGCATCCTAGTTCATTTGCGAGTTGTTCGTCGCTCCTTAAGCGCAGAGTCAACGCTTCTATGGTTCTAAAGACTTGTCGTTTCATGGAAATAACTCGTAGCAATGTCTTACGCGGAAGAGATTTTCCATGCCCGCTAACAAGCTTGACGGCCGCGCGTTGAGATCAAGTGAAGAGCAAGGTCTATTAAATTGACTGAAGATCCATAAGCTGACTCTCTTGGATGCTTTGTTTCACTTATTATAAGCGGATTATCGGGCCTAGGTTTTGGAATATCCTCTCCAATCAGGCTTTCGAGAAGAAAGACTTTCAATCGGTCCCGTAGGTAAAGTTCCGATAGAGGTTCTGAAAACCCTTTAGGCGCGTCGCAATACTCTCAAACTTCTCTGGCAGGTTGCAGGGAGCAAATCGGCCTGCGTTTCGATAGTAATATGGGGTCCCGGGGTATGACCTGCGCTTGCACCCCCCTGGGGTTCTTCCTCTCGCAGCAGCAGCAGCGGATGTATCGGTAGGTCGCCCGACTGCTGAGAGTCCAGTTCCATGACGTGTGGAATAACACTACCTGTTCAGGTGCAAGTTTTCTGATTTGCACATTCAATGATCAATGGACCCGGCAGTTAATCTCGACTCACACATCACGCTACATGGTGAGAGGTCAAGTCATACTAGGTGGTCATTGTTTGTAGCCTTGGACATAGACAGTTGAGGTGGCTTTTAGGCAGGCGGTGGCAGAACAGCACCCCTTTTCCGACCCGACCTTTTTCCCCGCACCTGATCTGGACCACCATTCCGTCATCACAGCTACCCCAGTCAGCCAAAATGAAGATTGTCTACATCGGAGTACGTGCTCTCATCCCTACTCTCCCAAGTCTCTGACTCGACTGACTGGATATTTCACCCAGATCTTACAAAATGCCCAGCAACCCGCTGTGGAGCTCTGCGCTGAGCGCGAGCTCAGCAGCTACTCCCGTTTCACTCGGGGTAGTATCAGCGAGTTCATGACTATGTTCAGCAAGACCGTTGCCGAACGGACAAAACAGGGCCAGAGACAGGATATTCAAGAGCAGGGTACGACAGATCCATCGACGTCGTCGGTTAGCTCGTATTGATCAAGGCAGACTTTACATTCCACGTCTACGCCCGAACCCAGGGCATCGCTGGTGTCATCATCAGTGATAACGAGTACCCCTCCCTCGCAGCGCATCAGATCCTCTCCAAAATCCTCGATGAGTTCCTCTCCCAGAACCCCTCAGCCGCGACCTCGCGAAACCCCGTTCCCTTTCCTCAGCTGCGAACGTACATTACGACCTACCAGAACCCCCAGGAGGTCGACAGTATCATGAAGATTCAAAAGGAGTTGGATGAGACCAAGATTGTGCTACATAAGACTATCGAAAGTGTAAGTTGGCTTTGGAAACTCGCGAGGCGAGAGCTGACACCTGCTAGGTTCTGGAACGAGGAGAGAAGATCGACGACCTGGTCTCCAAGAGCGAGGGGCTGAGCGCTCAGAGCAAGATGTTCTACACGTCCGCGAAGAAGCAGAACTCGTGCTGTGTGATTATGTAGGGTGGGTGCACAAACGGAAGGCGAAGGGTGTCAATATTCGACATGATGATGATGTCCGAGGGGTGGAAGTCCATACAGGCAGTCCCATTGTTGCAGATATCGGCGTTTTGATCCGGTAACAGGGCTTGGATTTTAGCCTATTTGCTATGCTACTCATTGCTCTGTTGGTGAGACGAGAGGTTGGATGCATACCAGCCTGGTCTGATAGATCTCGCGATACTTGATCTAACCTAGGCTGCCACTCACTCAAGCGCTGGATTACTGTGTAGAGTGCTACTGCAGAAATCATTTGTTTAAATTAATGACTTATCAGAATGCTTGTTATTTTTTTGGTCTTGAGACCCACTGTTTGGATTCAACGCAATAGCGTTTCAGTGGCCTCGCCCCTGAATCATTATTACGTTCGAGTATCTGACTTGCGCGGTTTAATCTCGGCCTTGAAAATTGGCGGCCTGGGGCATCACATCACGTGTTTATTTCTGGTACAGGGACTCCTTATCACGTAGTTAGTTATTTTTAGCGGGCAAGACTGCAAGCCACCTTTTGCTTGTAGGTGTATGTAGCCTTTAGCCTTTGTCATCGTTGTTATTCTCGTCCCGGTTACGTCTCTGGGGAGGTTTGCGCCATTTGAGTACGATGTGCTCAATCTGGTAATTCCATGCGAGGTTCCCTGAACCCCCAGGCCCCAGGAGAAGTAGCCACATCTTGAGCCTCGTCCGGTTACGAGAATAACTTGCTCCTTATGCAATCACTGGTTGAACACAGCTGAGACCAGAAATAAGAACAATCAATGAATAGTCATAACTTGCTTGCTGAGGTGGCGGGGCACATTACCAAAAGAGGCAATAGGGCACAGGGTACACTCGTTAGGGCAACCCCACCGCAATCAATTATCGCCAGGATTGATTGCGTGCCTGAGATAAAGCCCGGATGCCGATCATCCAGGCTTCTAGAACCGCGCAATTTGGATGGTCCCTGGTGGTTTAAGGTACACTCAAAAGTGAAACTATTGCTAATCCGATCCACTTTTCAGTATATTTTTTCCAATGATAGTCCTTCATCCTTGCCCCGATGGACTCGGCATTGCTTCTCCCTTTTCCTATCAGCAGAGATTCACCAAAACCACCGACTGTACCCGGCCTCCCGGCCCGGTGAATGTCTGATTGGCCGCAACCGCCGAAATGATCCATATCCGGTAGTATGAATTGTGCGGTGACAGTTGGCATGGTTGGGTTTTGTCTCTTATATCGGTGGTTCATCTTCATTCTTGACCCTTGCTACTCTTGCTTGATACCGTCATTCATTTGTCTCGTCTCATTAGCGTTGATCACAGTGAGTGTCGCGTGTCCGTCGACATGGGTCTACCACTGCTCATCTAACACTGCTGTAGCATTGCATAGCCAGAAGCGTTTATCCATCTTTGCATATTTATACCCCATTTAGAACTTGAAACCGCCTGACTCTATGACTGTTGTTTGAGCACCATGGACCAAGACTTTCCCACCCGCCACTCCTGGTCATTTGGTGGCCAACGCAATAGGTTCGCCGAATACCTGGCGGCGGATGTTCTAGTTGCTGCAGGTTCAGCGACATTAGTGACTCCAGCTGTTATGATCCTCGACCGGTTAGTCTCCGGCCTGGCTCCTGTCCCTGGTTGATACTAACAGCATCCAGGCTGGTGGTGGAAAAGTCATCTTACAATCAACCTCTCTTGCCTGCTTTTCGCCGACATCTCTGGCTTTCTATCACACAACCTGCAACCTTCCTCACATCGCGACCAAGTCTGCTGGTGTGGTCTCTATATACCGCGACATTTGCAACGGCCAATGCCACGGAGACCATCCTCAACAAGGTCTACCCCGCCGTCGACCATGCCATCGCAGGCACGACCACCTTTCTCTCCACCTTTGTGGTGAACTCGTCCGTAGGCATTTGGAAAGACGTCAAGTTTGCTCAACTATTCGGTCATAAGACAACCACTACAGCTGAATCTGCAACCAAGACCGCAAACCCCCAATCCGGGGCAACATCGACAGCCACCTCCCAGCCCAAAATCCGCACCGTCACTCGCTCCTTTGCCCTAGCCACCTACTCGGCCTTTCTCATCCGCGACGCCCTCACCATCTTCGGCTCCTTCAATCTCCCGCCCTTAGTGTCCGCCTCGATTCCCGATTCGGTCGC